AGCAGTAGTAGGGTGAGACTAAGTCCACTTGGTACTGCAACGCTACTGGCCTATTGTACCAGCCCCAGATGACAGATGATGGTGACTGTGGAGCAATTGTTGGAACGAAGATTGGCACGGGAAACCGAAGTACTCGGAGAAAACTTGCCCTTGTGCCAGTTTGTCCACCACAAATCCCGCATAACTAAATCGGAGCTTGAACCCGGCCCACCATAGTAGGAAGCCGGCGACTAACTGACTGAGCTACGCCACGACTTTCATTCAAATTATGTTTGTAATATTTAAGAAAGGGGGTAAAATTATTATTGTAACAGGCCGTGGTGTCCCATAAGGTTGTGAGATGTCGAGGATCCCATATTTTTAGGGAATAGGCTCACAGATGGCGGTAATGTTGTCAACCTTACGCGCCGGTCGGCCTTTGCCCCCCCCCCCAGGAAAATTCCTGGTACTCATTTCTGTTAGAGGCTGTGTCGATCCCAGGACCATAGTGCGGCTGGAAGGATTAGGTCAATCGAAAAATTTAATCATCTCATCAAAAATCGAACCCGAGGCCGTCCGGCTTGTAGCATAGTGCCTCAACTAACTACGCTAACGCTTGCCCCAGTCTTAGATTGAGGAGAGTCACTTTCTCTGATCCCTAACAAGAGTACAGCATTCCAGCTGAAGAATTACAGTATATCTTTTAGATAACGCCATGCAGACCGCTCAAAGTCAACCGACGTTTCAGAGGAACATATCGCTTTCTTCTTTAGAGTCAAGGAATAAACCAAACTGTACCTGCTATCTTTTACATGCTGGTTTCTCTCCTGGCTCACTCTTCGCTCATGAAGATGGAGGCGACATATTCCTCCGAAACGTTGGTTGACTCAGCAGGCTATACAACGTTATATCCCAGAAGCTATAGATCTGCAGAAACAAACCGAGTTGAATTTCTGATTGGCGAAGTGACTGCCACCGTGTCAAGAAGGATTTCCATCCCATGGACTTAGTTTGTAAAAGAGTTTTAACGGTGTATTAATTTACCTATCTTAGACTGGAACTGTTCCCTGCAGACCGCGTGATTACAGTATTGGTAACTGTGGCTTGTAGAGGAAATGCCTGAAACACAGACCCAAATCGACCAAAACATATCTCTGCGGTCTTCGCGTTGCGTCATTAACCCTCACGTATTAGTTCCTTCGTCCTTATAGAGTGTCAACTTAGTTCAACTTGGTTGGAACTTGATACAGGAGTAAACCACATTTCGCTTAACTTCTGTAGGGTTAAGCGAAATTTTCACACGTCATTAGGATATGGTGTGTGCACAGCTTATGATCCACAAACTGCCACATTATATATACAGGGTGATACATTAATACTGACATTAATGTTTTAATTGTAGTAAAGTAAATAAACAGTAAAGCTATTCCTGTAACAGTCCGTGAAGGCCCATAGGGTTGTGAGGCGTTGAGGGTCCAACATTATCTAGACAATCGGCTCAAAGATGGCGGTAATGTTTTAATTGTAGACCTATATTAACATGCCGGATACACGGCGGTAAGACGCCCCATTGCTAGAGATTTCCCATCTTCTAATTTACACATTTGTAATGAGGGAGAAGCCTTGTTGTTTAGCGTGGTGCACCGCTTCGAGGCGACACGTCGAGCATTGCATATGTTTAATACAAGTTTATTTTATTTACAGAGTTTTTATCCGTTTCAGACAGACATTCGGAGAGTTCATAGAATTTTATAGGCTTATGTTTAAAAGCCTTCCTTGGGTTTTATTATGCGTGTAATTATTTATCTCATAACTTCTGAAACTGTGGGTCGCTTCCGCCCAAGAGATCACGACCTACTCTACGAGAGTCTCGCCAAACTTTCAAGAATTATCCCTCTTTCATCCCTTCTTTCCCTGTATATATATATATATATATATATATATATATATATATATATATTTTCTAGTATAGCGGGCTATATCTCGATA